AAAATAAAGTTGAAAAACAGTAGTGTGTAAATTCTGCCTCGGTATACCCCTGCATCATAGGAATATTTATAATGAACATGTACTCATGCATTGCTTTGTAGTTTTTTAAAAATATGCTATAAATTTTTTTGAGGTGGAGCGAAATAGCAAAAGTTAAATATGAAAACAAAGTAGTAAAAAACAACTATAAAATACTTTCTGCTTTCATTTCTAATTCTACCTAGGGACCTCGGGCAGGCAGACCAGATACCAAGGAACAACGAACGGTTGTCTTCTCCACCCCATCTTTTGACATAGTGAAAATTAAGGAACTCAAGTCAGATGACAGATTGGGGAAAAACAAAGATGAACCGTTTGCGTGGCGTCAAGAATTGTATATTCATCGTTACCCACCATTTTAATGCGCAGCCAATTGAAAGAAGACCAAGTGATTGCCTGGTTGGCTTGTGCGACTGTAAATGATGAGTATGAGTACTAAAGACCAGCACAACACAAACTCGGCCTCAGTGTGCTCTCTTAACCAAACGTGCGACAGAGTTTTAAGCCCTTTTTGTATTACCATGGGTACAAATATTTTTTGCTGGCAGAATTTTAACCTGAATAGATTATTTTAACTAGATGCCCTCAAACTAGCCATACACAGTTTTGTTTGAGAAATGATGAGTATATTAATCCCTGGCACTTTTATTCAATTTTGATTTTCCTTCATTTTTTAAAAGTATCTGAACAAGCCATGCATAGCATAAATATTAGAATTTGCAGAATATAAGGCTGCTCTGGAGTCAGCCTGCAGTGTCTTTTTTTTTTTTTTTTTTAATATGTCTTTACTGATTTCAGAGAGATGAAGGGAGAGGGGGAGAGAGATAGAAACATGAATGANTTTTTTTTTTTTTTAGTAGCATATTGTTTTTATAGAACAGCTTGTGATTGACCTATTCTCAATTATAATACAATTAATAATGAATTTGTTGCTACATTCAGTGTGACACAGCATATGTAATCATTACTGAGCATTGCAAACAGTCGGGACAGAATTTTGCATCTGCTCAAATGTTGTACTCTGGATATTTTCCAAGTATGAAGGCTGTTTTGAGTAGTATTTATCAATATCCTTTTAATTGATAAATTCTCATGCCTGATATAGTACAAAGTATTGATATTTTTGTGATCCAGTGTAGTGGATGATATCAAACTTTACCAGAGGCTGTGATAGTTAAACAAAGGACATTATTTATTTAACTTTAAAAATACAATTTTTGATATTGTTTAATGTTTAAAATATGGAGGTTGGTTGCTGCTTTAACTCAGGCCAAGCAGGCTATAAATGGATCTCATTCTCTGCTAAAACATTCCCTTAAATGATGAAGAATATTGGAGTCAATGTGTATGATTCTCACTAGAATATATTTAACATAAACATGTACTTTTTTAATTTTGGGAGTACGTTTATTAAAGCTGGGGACAGTGAAACAAGGAAAGGCTTAGGATAGAAGGAGCTTAAGGGGGCCTTGGGAACAGGCTCAAGGGGTTAGCCTGGGAGGAGCTGCCACTGCCCATTGCTCCCCTGGTTGCAAGTCTTGTGGGACCCTTAGAGTTTAGGAGATGCACACCTGTGGGGGAAGGGAAAGGTTCGGGCGTGCCCCTGGGAGGGAGAGCACTAAGCCTGTACTCTTCAATATTAATATATCCTCATTTGATCTCCAAAAATGGGACAGATAATCCCCTTGTTTTCAAAGCTTGTACTGGACACTGTTTGAATAGAAAACAGGTATTTACTGTATGAGTCATGCATATTCTCATTTATTAAATTATGAAGCAGTCCCCATTTCAATGAAATGCATATCAGATTCAGTCCACCCATAGTATGTACAATAGCAAAGCGAAGGGAAATTTCAGATAAGGTGAAAGAAAAGGACAGGAAGGGCAGACTCCATGTTTAAGGGCAGCCCCTTCTCACATTAGCTAGAACTTCATCCCATCGTAATCCCTAGCTACAAGGGAAGCTGGGAATGTACTCGTTTCCGGCAGTTATGTTCCACACTAAAACTCTGTTGTCATAAGAGAAAGGGATAATCGACATTAAGACATAGCTAGCACACAAAAAAGACATAACTAGCATCAGCTGCTGGAGAACATGCCTACTATTGATTCTTTCAACACACATTAAACACTGTAACCACATCACAGAAAATTATTTTAAAAGTAGGATTATACATAATCTCATCACTATAATATAACAATTGTTTTAATTTGCTTATATGTTTCTAATCTGTCTAAATGCACACATATTTTTACATGATTGTAATCATAAGTAACATGGAGGGGGCAAGAGTAGGCTTACAGTTGTGAGTACATGAAACAGTTTATTCTAGTATTATGATTTATTATTATGTTATTTGTATTACAACTGTAAAACTACTTTTTTTAAAAAAAAATATATCTTTATTGATTTCAGAGAGAGGAAGGGAGAGAGAAAGACAGATAGAAACATCAATGATGAGAGAGTCACTGATCGAGCCTGCAACCCGGGCATGTGCCCTGACTGGGAATCGAACCCCGATCGCCTGGATCCTAGGTCAACGCTCAACCGCTGAGCCAGGCCCGGCCAGGCTGTAAAACTACTTTTGCCCACCCCTATAGATTTATTTTTTCACTTAATATTGTCTCTTAAACATAGTCCATTTAAAAAATAATCTTAATGGCTACATGCTAGCCCATGGGGTTGATGAGGCATAATTTACTTGTATCATTGGATATGTCAGGGATTCTAAGTTTTCACTATTGTAGGTAATTAACACTACAGTAAACATCTTCATGCACAGTTTTCTTTCTTTGCTTATCTTTCTGTTATTTATTTTTAACTTAATTGCATTGTAATCAGAGAACATAATTTGTGTGATACTGATTCTGGGAAATTCGTTGAGACTGGCTCTCTAGTCAAGTGTATGTTCAGCTTGGATAAATGTTTTCTGCACTGTTAAGGAAGAAAATGCCCAGGATAGAGAAAGAAAAATGGGCATTCTCTGTCACTGGTACAAGAGTCTGCACTTGTCCCTTTTTCAGCATTGCTCAGTGGCCTTATCACAGCCAATGAGGTTTATCCAAGGTGCAGTTATTACTAATTGAAAACTTTTCCCTATACGTGCCCTTTTATGATCAAGCTTGTTAATTGTATTATTTCTATTTTCTATGTGCTGCTAATTTGGGGGCTGTGTGACATCAGTTACTGAGAAGGGTATATGTTAAATTCTATGGTGGTGGACTTGTCAGTTTTTCCTCAGCATTCTGTCACTTTTTGCTCTTTGTTATTTGAAGATATCATTAGGGACATATAATTTCAGAATTAGCATCTCCTCCTGGTGAATTGAATCTGTTACCTTTATGTAGTTACCATCCTTGTTTCTAATAATGCATTTTGCCTTGAAGACTATTTTGTCCAATGTGAACAGAGCTCCTCTAGCTTTCTTCTGGGTAGGGTCTGCCTGGCATATGCTTTTGCATCTTTATTTTCAACCTTTTTATGTGTCAGAGGCTGGCTAGGTGCTCACTAATTCCATTTCCTCTTCCTAGGAGCACAGGACTACACTTCCCAGCTCTTTTTGCAATTCAGTTGGGGCCACCCAAGGAATACGGGCAGAAGTGATGTATGGCACTTCTAGGCTTGGCAACAATTTCATACATGATTTTCTGTGTGCTCTCTCCCCTGTTTACATGTCTAGAGGCAAAGAACTCCAAGGTGATAGAACTAGGATTGAAGGACCCCAGATTCCAATATCACTGATTGAAAGAGTGACAGCCAGAGGAGCAACCTGACCTGATGGGCTCTTATGTGAGCAAGAAATAAACTTTGTTGTGTGAAGCCCCAACGATTTTAGAGATTGTTTGTTACAGTAGCTAACATTAACTATTCTGACATAACATCTTTGTATTTTAGATTTTCTCTAGGATACAGCAAGTATCTGGACTGTTTTGCTTTGTTTTGCTCCAATTTGAAGACATCTTTGTTTTAACTGGTGAGTTTACACCATTTACACTTTACTATGATATTCATTGTTGATATATGGAATTATCTTTACCATTTTATTTTGTGCTATCTCTCCTGCTTTTTCTATGTTTTTCCCCCCTTTCCTGTTTTCTTGCAGATTGTTCTTTTGATTCCATATTTTCCCCTCTATTTTGGAAGTTATACACTCTTTCTATTCTTAGTGATTACTCTTAAATTTTAGCATGTACTTAAAATCTAAATCAAAAGAGCTCCACCCTGCCCCCTCCCCCCCCCC